ACTACTAAATATATAATATTTATATATAATATTTAGTGCCTTGTTTTCAGATTTATATGCATTCTATTCTGTGCAATACAAAAATTCATGATACGGCTTGTTTATGGAGCCCTGCCTATAAACAAATGCAGTATCATTCTGAGAAATGAGTATTTCCTGCCATATCAGTAAACAAGGATGTCACAGTCATCAGCAATTGCCTCTACCACGGATAGTGAGCTGGTGAGCCCTGAGGGAACTCAGGAAGGAAAGAAAACCTGCCATCTAGGAGCCATCAAGCTGCAGCCACTCCCTACGGCGAGCCCTGAGGAAACTCAGGATGTGAAAACACAGGATGCTGGCCCCAGAGAGCTGAGATGCATATCACAGGAATGATTCCAGTGAGCCCAGACTCTCACATCTTCCCATACATAGAAAAGCACTCAATTCCTTAACTTGGGTATCTGGTTTTCTTTAATTAACAATAATTGTTTGCTGTTCAAACAACCTGCCCTTTGTTGCAAAACTTCTATATAAGCTGGCTCCTCCTTCACCTCTTCTGAGCAGTTTCTCAGAGCTATCTGAAATGTTGTCTCCCAGGTCTGCAGCCCTCATTTTGCCTGCAGTAAAACTTAACTGCCAGCTCTCACACTGTGCAAATTGTTCTCAAAGATTCCCATTGCACGGACCTGGGGTTCCCAGCTTCTCCTGTGGTGCCTTCCCATGTGGCAGTTTCTGGGGATGATTTTCTAAAAAAAATGCCCACAAGTTGCCTACAGTGTTTAAAACTGTAGTATTTCATGTTAATTAAGCATTGGGTTCCTTAAAGCAGGAGCCAGCAAACCAGGCCCACAGGCCAAATATAGCCCCCTACCTACTTTTATGTGGCCCCCAATGGTAAAGAATCTCCCTGTAATGCAGGAGACCCTGGTTTGATCCCTGAGTCAGAAAGATCCACTGGAGAAGGGAATGGCTACCCACTCCAGTATTCTTGCCTGGGAAATCCCATGGACAGAAGAGTCTGGTGGGCTACAGTTCATGGGGCCGCAAAGAGCTGGACGTGACTTAGTGACTGAGCACACACAGCTATAAACCTCCATGCGCTGCTGAAGAGGAGACGTACTCTCAGGGAGCCCTGGGCTTGCAGTCCTCCCCACCACACACCCATCTCCTTGCTCACCTGAGGCTGCACACGAGCTCGCTGAAGCGGGGTCGTTCACTGGGGTCGTAGTCCCAGCAGCGGGTCATGAGGGTGTAGAGAATGGGCGGGCAGAGGTCAGGCTTGGGCAGCCGGTCCCCCTTCTCCAGCACCCCAATGACATCCTTGTTCTCCAGCCAGAAGAAGGGCTGCTTTCCGAAGCTCAGGATTTCCCACATGCACACAGCTGCAGGTGGGAGGAGAAGGCTCAGGGCCTGAGCTGAGGGCACTCGAACCTAGAGAGGCAGCCCACCCTCCCCAGAGATAGCCGCATAGTCAAGACTCAGCGCATGCTGGGGACCACCCGGAGTTCCCCTCTCCTCTATAGGTAGCATCCCAGGGGTCCTGCCCACGTGGTGGTCTGCTAAGGGACCAATCGCCTATGACTGTAAGTGAACTAAGCTCCCACACCCAGGTCCTTTCCACATGGAGCTGTTAGGGTTCTGGAGAAGGGGACCGTCAAAGGAACTTCACTGGAACCACCAGGAGGAAGTGATGCTTCCATCAGAAAGCCGGCATACGAAGCCTAAAGCCAGCACTTGCTGCCTGTGTGACCACAAGCAAGCCCCTGACCTGCTGAGCCTCAGTTTCCTTGTCTGGAAAATGGGAAGAAGAATAATGAGATTGTACTGGGCAGGCTGTGGAGAACCAGAGAATCTACACGGCTGTGTGCCTTTTAAGTGGCTGTCCATCACCTGGTTTTCCTCTCTCCTCACCCTGCACCTTCTTCTCAGAGAGGAGCTCAGTTCTGCTTTTGAGGCTCCCCTGCGGGGTGGCCTCACCTCAGTCCTGGGGCTGTTTGGGGGAGCTCATGCTCATATCAAGAGCCTTTTCCATGAAGATGAATGTAGGCTGGACCTTAGCTCGTGTCACCCCCAATCCACCACTGACTCCCCACCTCTGGGACTCCTCAGTGGTGGCAGCAAAACAGAACTGAGGGTCCAGACCCCTGCTTCTTGTGCCCCCTGTTATCCTGGTCACAGAGGGGTAATCAAACCCTTGTCCACGCCCTATGGAGAGTCTGCTCACCAAACATCCAGACATCGCTGGCGGTTGTGAAGCGGCGGAAGTTGATGGACTCGGGGGACATCCACTTGATTGGTAGACGGGTCACAGAGGCTGTGGGTGGACCAAAGGTTTATGGGAGCTCTTAGAGAAGAACGATCCAGACTTATCCAGAAAGGCAGCTTACTCTCCAGAGACTGTTGGCCTAGACTTGCCTTATAATCAGTCACCTTTTGGGGGGATTTTGGCTTCAGGGATGCCCTCCGGAGACAAAGCTGTAACACCCCCCCACCTCACCTTTGTAATACTCCTCATCCTCAATGTATCGGGAAAGGCCGAAGTCCCCCAGCTTCACACACTCAGGGGAGGCCACCAGGATGTTCCGGACAGCGATGTCCCTGGAAGGAGGCAAAGACCAGGGTGAGGTGGTTCATCACGCTTCAGGGGGACAGACAGATGGACAGATGGAGAAGAGAGCTTCAGGGCCCCAGCCTCCGGAGGAGAATCAAGCAGCTTCTGTGGGTCAGCCCTTCCTNCACAAGTGAATGAATGAGTGAGTGGATGAATATTCACGAGTGAGTGGATGAATGAGGGGATGAATATTCACAAGTGAGTGAAAAAATGAGGGGATGAATATTCACGAGTGAGTGAATGAATGAGGGGATGAATAGTCACAAGTGAATGAATGAGTGAATGAATATTGATGAGTGAGTGGATGAATGAGGGGATGAATATTCACGAGTGAGTGAATGAGTGAGTGGATGAATATTCACGAGTGAGTGGATGAATGAGGGGATGAATATTCACGAGTGAGTGAATGAGTGAGTGGATGAATATTCACGAATGAGTGAATGAATGAGGGGATGAATATTCACGAGTGAGTGAATGAATGAGGGGACGAATATTCACAAGTGAATGAATGAGTGAGTGGATGAATATTCACGAGTGAGTGGATGAATGAGGGGATGAATATTCACAAGTGAGTGAAAAAATGAGGGGATGAATATTCACGAGTGAGTGAATGAATGAGGGGATGAATAGTCACAAGTGAATGAATGAGTGAATGAATATTGATGAGTGAGTGAATGAATGAGGGGATGAATATTCACGAGTGAGTGAATGAGTGAGTGGATGAATATTCACGAATGAATGGATGAATGAGGGGATGAATATTCACGAGTGAGTGAAAGAATGAGTGGGTGAATATTCACGAGTGAGTGAATGAATGAGTGGATGAATATTCACGAGTGAGTGAATGATGAGTGGATGAATTTTCACGAATGAGTGAATGAATGAGTGGATGAATATTCACATCCCCCAATGTCGCTGCCCATAGTGTCACCCACATGGCCCCATATCTGAGCGGGATGGCATTGGACTGAAGAATTCACCTGTTCACCCCAGGGCTTTGAGCTGGATCATAGAAAAAGCAAGAGAGTTCCAGAAAAACATCTACTTCTTTATTGACTACACCAAAGCCTTTGACTGTGTGGATCACAACAAACTGTGGAAAATTCTTAAAGAGATGGGAATACCAGACCACCTTACCNAAGCAGAGACATTACTTTGCCAACAAAGGTCCGTATAGTTAAAGCTGTTGTTTTTCCAGTAGTCATGTATGGATGTGAGAGTTGGACTATAAAGAAAGCTGAGTGCCAAAGAATTGATGCTTTTGAACTGTGGTGTTGGAGAAGACTCTTAAGAGGCCATTGGACTGTAAGGAGATCCAACCAGTCCATCCTAAAGGAGAGCAGTCCTGAATATTCATTGGAAGGACTGATGCTGAAGCTGAAATTCCAATACTTTGGCCACAGATGCAAAGAACTGACCCATTTGAAAAGACCCTGATGCTTGGAAAGATTGAAGGTGGGAGGAGAAGCGGACAACAGAAGATGAAATGGTTGGATGGCATCACCAACTCAATGGACATTGAGTCTGAGTAAGCTGTGGAGATGGTGATGGACAGGGAAGCCTGGTGTGCTACAGTCTATGGGGTCACAAAGAGTTGGACACAGCTGAGCAACTGAACTGAACTGAACTCTGTCTCCTCCAGAGGATCATATCCCCCATGATGGGGACCTCCCTTCAGGGAAGGGGACAAAGCTGGTGGAGAAGGGACCAGCACCACAGTCAGACAGAGGACTGGACTTGGCAGTTTGGAGGTGTCAGGGACCAGGGCAGTGCCACTCATTTGGGCTGGAAGGCCTGGGACCCCAGGATTGTCCTAGTGCTGCCAGAACCCAGTCTCTCCTGCTAGGCTGGGTGCCACCAAATGGAAATGCCAGAGAACAAGTGAGCAGCGAGCAGGGAAGTGATTTCCTGCACCCACAGGGATGCGGGCTACTGAGTTACAGGCAGACACCCCCGATTTCAGATTGCCTTTTCCTAGCAATCCTGGGAGGGACCTCTGGCTGTTGTACTTTTAGAGGAGGACATGGGTCCCAAGAAGGTGCTCAAGCCCACCTAAGTGGGACCAAAGCCAGGCCTTCAATCCTGGTCTGTGCGTGACCCCACCTTCTCCAGGCCCCTCCCCAGCCCCACCTGTGGACACAGTTGATGCTCTCCAGGTAAGCCATGGCCTTGCAGATCTGCAGCGAGTACAGGACAAGAGTGAGCACCTTCAGGATGTTCTTGTTTCGCTCCAGGTAGTGACCCAGCTGCAGGAAAGGGAAGGTGCCCTGAGGATTCTGCCTGGCCTGGGCGTGGAACTGGGGGTGGGGGAGGCCACGCCCAGAATGGCAGCAGAAACTGGCAACTTCTTCTCCAAACAGCCTTGGGGCTGTTTCAGCCGGGACTTAAGGGCCCCTGGCTCTGAATGCATCCTCCCTGGCCACCCCCTCCCCAGGTGTTGCTCCACTGCAGTTCAGCTATCATCACAGGGGTACCTTGGCCCTCCAGCTCACCTCCCCATAGGGGTACAGTTCCATGATGATCCAGGTGGGCTCCTCTTCGATGATGCCAATCAGCTTCACGATGTGTGGGTGGTCCAGGTTCTTCATGATCACTGCAAGTGGGAGTGACAGGGTTAGGGTTAGCAGTTAGGTTTAGGGTTAGGGGTTGGGATTAGGTTTAGGGGTTAGGGTTAGTGTTTAGGGTTATGGTTAGGGATTAGGGTTAGGGTTTGGGCTAGTGTTTAGGTTTAGGGTTAGGGTAGGGTTAGCTGTTAGGGTTCTGGTTAGTTGTTATGGTTAGTGGTTAAGTGTTAGGGTTAGGGTGAAGAGTTTGGTTTAGGGGCTAGGGACTAGGGGTTAGGGGTTAAGGGTAGGTGCTCCAGTGTCTCCAAGGTCCAAAGCAAGAATCAAACTCTGCTGGCTGGACCCAAAGTCAGGGGTGCAACCTGTTCCCCCTTGGATGTCAGCTCTGTCCATGGTCTCCCCGACCTCCACTGCAGATGCTTTGACCCCTTTCCGCCTCCCGGTCTGCATAGTCCCCAGGCTTTTTTCCAGCCCCTGTGCTGGTGTCTTCACAGGGACACCTACCTGCCTCACTCATGAACTTCTCCTTGTTATCCAGTGTGCAGTCTTTCTTACAGGTCTTCACAGCCACATTGATCACCTCCCCTTTCTGCAATGACAGTGTGTCCAGGACCCTCAGTCCTGCCCAGAGCTCCCCACCCCGGCGTCCCCAGGAGACAGGCGACGTCTGGGTCTCTGCAAAGCCTGCACTTCCTATCTCTTCCCCTCCTCTCCTCCATAACCCCTTCCTCCTGATCAGGGTACATTTGGACTGGAGGAACGTTGAAGATCAGATCCCTTGAGGCGCTGGCTGTCCAGGTGAGGACATGGAGGCTGGGGGTCCACGTGACCTGCCCAAAGTTAGTGGGTGTGTGCAGGTCACATGCAAGGCCATCACTGGACATGGCGTCCAGGTCTTTTTCTCTTTATTGTTGGTTTTTAGAATTTTGCCTTTTCCCCAGGCCTGGTTGAAGAACAAACACAAAGGCAGACTTGTCCAGCCCCATTGGTGGCCTTGGAGCCCACCTTCCCTTTCTCACAATGGCTTCACACGGAGTTTCCCCCTTCACATTCTCCCATAAGTGTCAGTCCCCACCGCTGGGCCCCGTCCCATGCCCCACGGCTGTTGCCTCTCTTCCGATCCCTGCTATTGCTGCCTTCCTGGGAAATGACTTTTGTTTTCATCACGCCCTGTGTATTTCATAAACGCTGCAAAGGCCAAATGTGTGAAGCTCCACGCACCACAGCACACCCTCCCCCAGCACTAGGGTATTTGAGCTCCTTTCTCTGTCTACCGAAGAGCAGAACTTGGGTATCACAAACTCACGTGATTTGTGTAGACACCTTCATAGACTTCCCCAAAAAAGCCTTCACCGAGAATACGATTCAGGACCACATCTTCCCGGGTGATGCCATACTGTGGGCCTGCACAGATGATAAAGCAGACAGTCCTGGGGCACATAAACTGGTTGGCACCCCCTGGGAATTCAAGAATCTACATCCCTGGGGATGCTGAGTGCCCACATCCCTGGGATTCTGAGTATCCAGAGGCTCTAACACCGGGCTCCGCCCCCTCCAGCCCAGGTGTGACCAGACCTCCCCCACCAACACCTCAGCCAGGAAGCAGGGGCTAGGCTGGGAAAGGGGCTCTAGAAGGTTCCATTGTCTCAGACTTGGGAAAGCTGAGCCCCATGTCCACGCGCTTAGCACACCCCTCCACCACAGACACACCAAAGGTCAATGGTGACGGGATAAAAACCATGATCTCTGCTTTCAAGTCACAGGTGCCTCACTCAGCTGTGTCCCTGGCTGAGACACACGTGGAAGACGACACAGGAAGGAAAGAAAGTCCCCCTGTGATGTCATATGTGTCCCCAGATGTCACTTCCCACGGCCCTGGCGGTGGTTGACATGGGGTGGGGGGCGGTCAGGGATCTACCTCCTGATCTTCGCAGGGTCTCGTCGGGGATCTCAGCATAGATGTCTGATTCTGAAATGACAGGAGGACACCCCATGGGCAAGATGCCTTGGGGGGGCACCACCAGGAACCAACTGTGAGACCCCCTCCTGCCCCGCCCGCCACAGGTCAGTGAAACTAAGCTGACATCACTGGGAGGGGCGTGGGGAGGAGCCGGGGGAGAACGGGTTTCCATCCCAGGTATCTGGGTGGCCACAGGGCGCAGGATCCTTGGCCTGAATCCCTCCTTGCTGCTGCCTGGCTATTATTTAGGGCAAGTTGGTTCATCTCCTTTAATCTGCTTTCCTTTCTGTGAAATGACTATTTCTGGGGAATGTAAATATTAAAGAAAACAATACCTATTATGTATTTAACACTGTCATGAACTGAATGCTTGTGTCCCCTCAAATGCATGTTGAAACCCTGACCCCAGGAGTGGTGGTGGTGTTTGAAGGGGTCTTTGGGAGGTGATTAGGGTTAGATGAGGTCATGAGGGTGGGGACCCCACGGTGGGATGAGTGTCCTTAGAAGAAGAGAGACCAGAGCTCTCCATCTGTCCAGCACATGAGGACACAGAGAAGGTGGCCATCTGCAAGCCGGGAAGAGAGCCCTCACCAGCGTCCCACCACACTGGCACCCTGATCTTGGACTTCCACCTCCAGAGCTGTCAGAAATCAATGTCTGTTGTTTAAGCCCCCCAGTCTGTGGCTTTTTATGAAGCCTGAGCTGACCAAGACAAACATGGTGCCCGTACTAGCTACCTAATACATGTTCGCGCTCACACTCAGTTTAGCAGTTGTGTCCAACTCTTTTCAACCCCAAGGACTGTAGCCCGCCAGGCTCCTCTGCCCATGGGATTCTCCAGGCAAGAATATTGGAGTGGGTTGCAGTTTCCTTCTCCAGCGATCTTCCTGACCCAGGGATCGAACCTATGTCTCTTGTGTCTCTTGCATCGGCAGGTCAGTTCTTTACCACTGAGACCCAAGGGAAGCCTCGCCCAATACATGTTAGCTATTATGATATTTCTAGCTGTCACTGAGCAGTCATAGGGGAAGTTCATTTTTCTGTAACTTTGAGGGAATCCTCCGGGATGCCACAAGAGCAGGCAGAAGGGAGGCTCTGGGTGTGGGCAGAGGACAGCACATGGGCAGGCTTACCTATGCTGCAGCTTTCTGAAAGGTGCGGCCGCCGAGCTTCCAGGTTTCTACAGGAGGAGAGGACAGTGCAGGAGCCCAGTGAACTCAGAACCTGGCAGTGCCCACCCAGGGCAGCCTCATTCCCCTTCTCTCCCTCCCACCCGGCCTGGAGAAGCAGCCTGTTCTGATGGCGCTAAGCTAGGAGCATGGCCCAGGCCACCAGGAGACAGGAGGGAGGTTTGCTTGCTAAGTCGTTTCAGTCGTGTCCGATTCTGCGACCCTATGGACTGTAGCCTGCCAGGCTCCTCTGTCCATGGGATTCTCCAGGCAAGAGTACTGGAGTGGGTTGCCATGCCCTTCTCTAGGGGATCTTCCCCACCCAGGGATTGAACCCATTCTCTTAACACTGGCAGGCAGGTTCTTTACCACTAGCGCCACCTAAGGGGACAGCAGCAATCCCCCCTACCTCCCCCACCCAAGATGGTGCCAGGAGGCTTTAGGGCACAGGAATAACCTCGCACGAATTTACTGGGAGAAATTTACTGGTGAAAAATAACCACTTGTGAAATGCTGGAATTCCAGCATTTTCTCCTGGGGGCCAGAAACTGGAAACCGTGGCGGGGGAGGCCCCCGTTCGGTCTGCCTTCGTAAGGAAGACCCCGGCTGAGGGCGGGGCCGGTTCTCCGCCTCGCGGTTGGTTGTACTCACAGCGTGGGGATCTGGGGCAGACTGTTCCGCTTCTCAGCGTCTGGGGAGAGGAGAGGAAGGAGGGGAGCTGGAACCAGGGCCACAGGGTCCCGGATGGATGACGGACCTCATTGCTTCTACCAGCCGACACACGGGAGACCCCTCCCGCCACGCTATGGCCCCTGAGAGTCGGGGTGGAAGCCGGATAGGCAGTTGCCCTGAACTGGAATCCTTTTAGCAGAAGAAACTCTCAGACTTCCTCTGCCACTGTCACACGTCCCAGCCTGACCCTTGCTTTCTGATTCCATCCCCAAACAGGACGGACCAGCCATGCTCTGGGAACAGCTTTGATTTTCCCAGGGCGACAAACATCTCTCCATCAGAAGCTGCCCCCCGCACCCCGTGCCACCCTCGGTCAGCGGGGCCAGGGCTGTAGCCAAGGGTCTGGGATGGGGTCACAGGGAGTGTCCGGCAGGGCTGGGTGAGCTCCTCCGCACACTTCCAAAGGCTCTTCATTCACATATCCGCCAGTGGTTTAGCTTCTCCTGCTCCTCCCCGGAGGCTTGGCTCGGGTATGCCACCCACTGCCTCTTGGGCCAGGTTACCTTCACGTGGAAACACACCTTTCTTGGCTCGAATGATGAGAGAGCCCTTGTGCTCTCCTTGCAGCCGGCAGTAACCATCTACGAGGTCAGCCATGTTCTCGGCCTCTGCCAGAGAGGAGGTTTTGATGGACAAGGACTGCAGGGAAGAGACCAGCCAAGGATGAGACCCCAGAGCCTTGGCTAGAGTCAACCCCACGGGACTGCAGGACTCCCAACCATGGCCTGCCTGGACTCCGCCAGCTCTTCTGGGGCTCGGCTTGCACTCCCCATTGCCACCAGGGGGCGCTCTCGTCACCCTGCCCATGGGCAGGCTTACCTATGCTGCAGCTTTCTGAAAGGTGCGGCCGCCGAGCTTCCAGGTTTCTACAGGAGGAGAGGACAGTGCAGGAGCCCAGTGAACTCAGAACCTGGCAGTGCCCACCCAGGGCAGCCTCATTCCCCTTCTCTCCCTCCCACCCGGCCTGGAGAAGCAGCCTGTTCTGATGGCGCTAAGCTAGGAGCATGGCCCAGGCCACCAGGAGACAGGAGGGAGGTTTGCTTGCTAAGTCATTTCAGTCGTGTCCCATTCTGCGACCCTATGGACTGTAGCCTGCCAGGCTCCTCTGTCCATGGGATTCTCCAGGCAAGAGTACTGGAGTGGGTTGCCATGCCCTTCTCTAGGGGATCTTCCCCACCCAGGGATTGAACCCATTCTCTTAACACTGGCAGGCAGGTTCTTTACCACTAGCGCCACCTAAGGGGACAGCAGCAATCCCCCCTACCTCCCCCACCCAAGATGGTGCCAGGAGGCTTTAGGGCACAGGAATAACCTCGCACGAATTTACTGGGAGAAATTTACTGGTGAAAAATAACCACTTGTGAAATGCTGGAATTCCAGCATTTTCTCCTGGGGGCCAGAAACTGGAAACCGTGGCCGGGGAGGCCCCGTTCGGTCTGCCTTCGTAAGGAAGACCCCGGCTGAGGGCGGGGCCGGTTCTCCGCCTCGCGGTTGGTTGTACTCACAGCGTGGGGATCTGGGGCAGACTGTTCCGCTTCTCAGCGTCTGGGGAGAGGAGAGGAAGGAGGGGAGCTGGAACCAGGGCCACAGGGTCCCGGATGGATGACGGACCTCATTGCTTCTACCAGCCGACACACGGGAGACCCCTCCCGCCACGCTATGGCCCCTGAGAGTCGGGGTGGAAGCCGGATAGGCAGTTGCCCTGAACTGGAATCCTTTTAGCAGAAGAAACTCTCAGACTTCCTCTGCCACTGTCACACGTCCCAGCCTGACCCTTGCTTTCTGATTCCATCCCCAAACAGGACGGACCAGCCATGTTCTGGGAACAGCTTTGATTTTCCCAGGGCGACAAACATCTCTCCATCAGAAGCTGCCCCCCGCACCCCGTGCCACCCTCGGTCAGCGGGGCCAGGGCTGTAGCCAAGGGTCTGGGATGGGGTCACAGGGAGTGTCCGGCAGGGCTGGGTGAGCTCCTCCGCACACTTCCAAAGGCTCTTCATTCACATATCCGCCAGTGGTTTAGCTTCTCCTGCTCCTCCCCGGAGGCTTGGCTCGGGTATGCCACCCACTGCCTCTTGGGCCAGGTTACCTTCACGTGGAAACACACCTTTCTTGGCTCGAATGATGAGAGAGCCCTTGTGCTCTCCTTGCAGCCGGCAGTAACCATCTACGAGGTCAGCCATGTTCTCGGCCTCTGCCAGAGAGGAGGTTTTGATGGACAAGGACTGCAGGGAAGAGACCAGCCAAGGATGAGACCCCAGAGCCTTGGCTAGAGTCAACCCCACGGGACTGCAGGACTCCCAACCATGGCCTGCCTGGACTCCGCCAGCTCTTCTGGGGCTCGGCTTGCACTCCCCATTGCCACCAGGGGGCGCTCTCGTCACCCTGCCCAACTGACCTTACACTCCAGGAAGGGAATTCCTTTTTCTAGCCACTGAGTATATAGCACATGCCTTGTATGCTTGCAGAAATGGAGAGAAGGGAAGAGGGAGGGACTGGCGCAGAGCACACGTGGATGAAAGGACAGGCATACGACCTGTTTGTGGTCTGAGGTCTTTCTCATTGTCCCACCTACAACAAGCCCTGGGTTCCCAAGGCGTTGGTTCGGAGTCGCTGTTACTTGTTCACAGTTAGACCTCTGATCTGGACCTTGATTTCTGGTCACTTTACTCCAGCCCTCCTCCAAACTTCCTACAACGTCTTTCTTGACCTTCTAAACAACAGTTTTGCTTCCTGATGTACTTTTCCTTAGTTTGACATCATCCTGCTACCTGGTCTAAGAACTAGATGCCCTTTACTTAACAAGATCCCAGCAGCCAGGGAAGCCCTAGCCAGGCTGGCCTGAGCAGGCATGCCCAATGTTCTCAGAGATGCTCACCTGGGGAGCGCCTTCGATGCCCAGCTGCAGTACCGCCTGGCCCTCCTCCAGAGGGAGGCACCTGATGGACTTGATCTGCTTGAACTCGGCCAGGCAGGTGGGCTGTGGGAAAGGAGGGGTTCCTTCAGACCATCCCATTCCTGGGATTGGGCTAGGAGGATTGATCAGTATGGGGTGGAGGTGGGTGGGGAGCGAGGAAGAACCAGGCATTGGAGTCTCTCGGCAGGGATGAAGAGGGAATCAAAGACCATTCAGGTTAGAAGGATCACCTAGCCCAAGCCCCTTGCCAAAGAAAAAATGAGCCTGGAAAGAGTCAGGATTTGCCCACACTCATGCCAAGCTGGCGGTAGGGCCAGGGCTGGACCTGGTTCTTCTGACTCCCAGGGACATGATAGCCCCATATGCCATTGAAAAAGCAACTACTATTACCAGAAGAGCAACAGTCATATCCTTCCCTCTTCCCCTCCCCCACCTTAACCACACCTGTCCCCAGCCCCTCTGTGCCAGAGACAGTCCCAGGGATGTAGAGACCCACACTCCCCATGCCGTTATCCCAAATAGCCTCCCCACAGCTGCTGATACCAAGAGCCTCCCTGCTGTCAGCAATGGGGCGAAAGAACCGATGGGACAGGCCAGGATGGGAGGCAGCCAAAAGGGGAAGCACGCTCTGCCTGGAGCTGGGTGGGGCCTGCCCCCTCCCTACCCCATCGCTCTGTACCTTTGCATCTTGACTTGTCAGCTGGCGGATGCCCTTAGGGCCGATGACCAGGTCCACAGTGATGTTCCATCCTTGCTGGAATCAAAGGAGACACAGGCTGTTGCCTCTGCTCTGCCCGCCCATATTTCAGAGGCTTGAAAACAGCTCACTAGCTAGACACAAGCCATGTCTCCTGGGCCCTCCAGCTCCTTCCATCCTAACCTCCCACCATACAGATCACCCTGCTCCCAACACTCTGCCAGCACTGCCCACCTCCTCCCAGAGTTGGAGCCAAGGTTTCAGCTCCCTTCCACAAGCCAAGTGGCTTAGCATTAGTTGCATTTTCAGATACACTGGGGGAGGTCCTGGTGCTACAGAACCTACAAGCAGCAGGTTGGAGGGTTGTCTTGACCCCCACTCCCACCCTGAGTTGCCCTCGTGGCCTGCTCTCCTGAAAGGCTTGGGATTTGGGTCAGGGGGAGAATGCAGAGAGAGCGGCGTTACAATGAGTTCACAGCGATAGGTCTCCTGGTCAATGTTGGCGAAGCCTGCGAGGGTGTTGAAGAACTTCATGACGCACTCCTCCTCCCGGAGCGAGGCGTACTGCTGGAACGTCTGCTGGATCATCTTCCGGAACTGCTTGGGCTGGGCGAGAGGGTCAGGGGTGAGTGGGGCCCGATTCCTTCCCTTAGGATCTCACCGCAGGCATGCACGCTGCTGTAGGACAGTCCTTAGGCCTCTGTAGACCGTGAGGGCAGTGGTGATCTCTTACACCTGTGGTCTCAAGGGAGCTCACCATGGCCCTGGGAGGGAGGCAGGGGTGGTAGCATCCCCGGTGTTCAGGTCATAGAGCTAACTGGCCTCTGATGTGGAACTAGAGCAGGGTTTCTTGATTCCCGGACACAGACGGGCCCACGGGATGCATGGAGCAGTCCCAGGTCCAGATGGCCTAAGGCAGCACAGACACCCTGGCTTCCCCAAGGGTCCCCAGCTCCATCCCTTACAGATTTAATCCTTGGGGGACATAAGGGAGACACGAAGGGAGTCTTTCTGGGCTTTTCATCCACTGGTTTCCTCACCTTTAAGTTCTCCTGCATTTGCTTTGGGAAAAACAGGTCCAGGCCCACTTCTTTCCTGAAAGTAAGGGGAAAAGCAGCATTTGAGTCCCCTTTGGTGGCTCAAATGGTAAGGAACTTTCTGTGTTGCGGGAGCCCCAGTTTCGATCCCGAGGTCAGGAAGATCCCCTGGAAAAAGGCATGGCAACCCACTCCAGTATTCTTGCCTGGAGAATTCCATGGACAGAGGAGCCTGGTGGGCTACCGTCCATGGGGTTGCAAAGAACTGGAGAAGACTGAGTGACTAATACTTTCTGTATCCCCAGCTCAGGACTTCGGGCCGATCAGGGAAAGATGAACACAGCAGGGAGGTGGCCCTTGCCTGGCTCTGGTCTGGGGGGGTTGTGTGGGAGGGGAGCAAAAGGAACAGGAGGAGGAGGGGAGGAGAGGCTGCAGCCAGTCCCAGAACTTACTCCAGGAGCTCGAAGTTGGACTTTTTGTCGAGTGCGTTGTGGGGCATGTCCTTGAAGAACCGCCTGCAGAGAGAGAAGCCACGGGGAACAGGGCCATCAGAGCTGGGCCACCCAACGCCCATATGTTGGCCCAGAAGCACCCTCCCCTGCCGGATGTGGGAACCACTGGGAGGGAGAAGGAAGGAGAGGCGAAACATTCAGTATTTAGAAAACTATGAATTTTAGAAAACCCACAAATTTCCTTCCTAGGAAAGACTCCAGCTGTACTCCGGGATGTCCACCTCTGGCTTATGCAGTTGGTGGGCAGAGGAGGAGGACAGGGTTCTACCAGTGGTCTCTAAAAATAAATGACCCAAGGCAGCCAACACTCGACCTATAGCTGAGGAACACCGATACCCACCTTTGAGGTTCTGTGTTCCCTTTGTGACTTTCTTTCCCCTCATTTGCTACCTCTGAAAATCTACGTGTATGCATGCAAATAATTATAAAATATAGTACACAGAAACACTTTAGCATTTATGGAGCAGAAGAAAATAAAACAAATCCATAATACTACCACCTGGGGTGACATCTATTAAATTTTTTTTTTAATCTTAATGTCACAGATTTTTCTCTATGTGACTGTATTTTTTTTTTCCATTTATTTTTATCAGTTGGAGGCTAACTACTTTACAACATCGTAGTGGTTTTTGCCATACATTGACATAAATCAGCCATGGATTTACATGTGCAATTAAATTTTTATACATATTCTTTAAGTATGATTTTTTTCCTTTAAAATGTATGTCTTCATGGAGAGTTTAATGTATTACTTATTTATAATAATTGTTTATGTGGAGACAATACTATTTGTCTTATCTTCCCTTCCCTGTTTGGATCATGTGTCTAGTAATTTCTTCAACTGTTGCAGACATTGCCCCACTCCTGATCATACATTAGTAACTCAGTGTTGCTCTAACCCAGGTGTCCTTGCGCACATCTGGGAATAGTTTTATGCTGCTGATACCATAAGCAGAGAAGGGCAAGTAACTTAGGATTCATAAGCAATAAATTTACAAAATTCACAGTGTTTAGGAAAAAGTATGGTTAGACCTTCATCTCACACTTTATTCTAAATATTTATTCTAGATAGATTAAAGGGAAAATGTTAATAATGAAGTTATTTTAAAAACTAGAAGAAAAGCTAGGGAAATATTCTCAAATCATGGAACTGAGAAGAATATCTAAAGCATGAAGTCACAGAAGAGATCTACAATAAAAACTTAAAACATGTAGTGCTATGTCCTTAACAATTTTTAATAAACAGTATTTTTGAACATATTGTCAATATAGATAAGTAGTAATAATTATGGTCTCAGTTTTAGAGGAAAAAATTGCATTGGAAAAAACCTGACTTGGAGCTACTCTGCTAATGGAGGTTATCTCTGGTTAATGGAATTTCAAATGATTTTAGTCATTTCTTCTCCTTCTCTACATGTTCCAAATAGTCCATATTGTACAAGGCAGTGTGGCCATCCACAACACCCCCTGGGCTGGGTGAGCTGCAAAAAAATCTACTTCCAGGTAACTGACCATATTGGCATGCTGCATGCAGTTAAGTAACTCTACAAAATAAATGTCAGTGCGTGTCTACCAGCAAAGAGGTCTTTAGATCTTTCACAGTTACCCAATCATTCAAATTCATACTGTGCCCTCACTGTGTGCCAGGAGAAGGCGGCACCAACCCTGAGTTCAAGGACTTGATGGATTTCAGACGAGAGCACGTGAACCACTTGGCATCTGACAGAGTGGTGCATACACATGGCCTTGTGGCCAATCCATGCAGGGAAGGGTAGGTGGGGTGGGCCTGGGGAATGGGAGGCTTTGAGACGGAGAGACCCTTGAGTGGGCACTGAAGGAAGAGCCCAGGGCCACACTGCTTGTTATCAAGGTGTGCATCACAGGCATGATAGGAAGTTTTCTATGAATGTTGAGGGACAGCGAACAACCTTGGGGGCTTCCTTGGGGGCTCAGTGGTAAAGAATTTGTCTGCAATGCAGGAGATGCAGGGTTAGTCCCTGGGTTGGGAAGATCTCCTGGAGGAGGAAATGGCAACCCACTCCAGCATTCTTGCCTGGAGAATCCTACAGACATTGGAGCCTAGTGGGCTACAGTCTGTGGGGTCGCAGAGTCAGACACGACTGAGTGTCTGAGCTGGATGATTTACTAACTCTGTACACATCTATTGGCATCTACTAGAGCTGGGGATACAGCAGTGAGCAACACAGATGGAATCCCAGCATTCGAGTATCTCCCAGATACTGTTCAGAGGAACGTTTACTGGATCACCTGGATGGCAGGTAGATGGAAGAAGCCGGAGCCTGGAGGCAAGAGCAGTGGCAGCGAAAGGCAGACAGGGGACACCGACCAGAGAGAGGGCTGGCGCCTCTCTTCCCAGGGCCAGACAGTGAGCACCTCGGGGCCTTACCGTCTGTCCACCACCACTTGTCCCCTTCCGGCTCTCACATTCCCGCCCTGGAGGAGAGTCCAAGCTGGCCGAGAGCCCAGTGGAGGAGGGAAGGAGCAGGCACTCTCCCTGGAGTGGCCCGGAGGCCACCTACCTGAGCTCCAGACAGCCCAGCTGCAGGGCCATCCCTTCGCTGACCTTGCTGGCATAGCGCTGCATGTAGTCGTTCCGGAGCTGGCAGGGAGAAAGGCCACGGTTCGGACTCCCGCCCTCGCTCCCCATTTCCCTGAGATGAACAGAGGCCCCAGGAGGTGGAGGGGGCTTTGAACACCATCCTGCTGCCCTGAGTGGTCTCTCATCCCTCCTCTGACAAATGCACAACCGCATAGCAGGACGGGGAGGTGCCCTGGGTAGTGTTGACTGTGCTCCCACAGGCGCGATTTTGCAGCACTTTCATAGCACTTTTTTTTTCAAGGGTCCACAAGGCAGGAAGTTCAGGTTCCCCTCTCCCACCCCTCACTTTGGAGATAAAGAAACTGGGAATGGGGGGAGGAGGTAGTCATTTATTCTGGCTTCCCGATGGCTCAGCAGTAAAGAATCCTGCAGTGAAGCAGACACAGATGAGGGTTTGACCCCTGGGTTGGGAAGATCCCCTGGAGGAGGGCATGGCAACCCACTCCAGTATTCTAGCCTGGAGAGATGAGAGGAGCCTGGCGGATTACAGTCCTTGGGTTTGCAAAGAGGTGGACACAACTGAGCGATAGCATACATGCATGCGATAATTTACCCAAAGCCTTGTTGGTAAGTAGTAACGGATGTCACTCAAGATACAAGAAAAGTCTGGCTTGGCCACTAGAGGACCAGGAGGGAGATGGAGCCTGGGGCAAAGGCCAGACAGAAAACAGCCGCGGCCGCTCTTGTGCATGCGGTGCTTATTCCCCGCCACGTCTATGCTGGGCACCTCAGGGGCACTGCAGCCAGGAGTGTGGTGAGCTCCAAACAGCTCACGGAAGTCAGCTATTAAGTTTTCCAAAATTTTGTGAGCTGCTTGATATGTTAGTCTTTTGAAATGAGGCCAAGATGGGAGAACTTGATTTAGTTTAGTTGCTAAGTTGTGTTTGACTCTGTGACTCCACAGACTGTAGCCCATCAGGTTCCCCTGTCCATGGTATTTCCCAGAAAAGAATACTGGAGTAGATTGCCATTTCCTTTTACAGGGGATCTTCTGGACCCTGGGATCGGACCCAGGTCTCCTGCATTGCAGGTGGATTCGTTACTGCCTGAGCTACCAGGGGTTATTTACAAACACGGAGATTGGCAAGCACTACAAATCAGAGAGTTGGTTTACCAGTACACTGCTAGTACTATCGTTAGGTCTTCATGGCAGCCCAGTAATGTACGTATTCTTCTTATCACCCCCTTTTTATAGAAGAGGAAACAAGCTCATGCAGGTAAATTAGGTCCCCAGGGGTCTCAGGCTGGAACATGGCAAAACTGGGCTAGAAACCAGGTGTGTCAGACAGCCGCGCCTGTGTGCTATGATTGCTTCCCTTCTCTTTGGACTTGCTCTGCCTGCTTCCCCAGCCAGGTCTTCCGGGCAGTAGATAGCCACTAGGAAAATCCAAGAGGCCCTGTGCCTATGGGGAGGGGTCATTCTGCCCTCAGGTGTGAGGGAAGCAGGTTTGGATAGCTGACCAGGGACCAAGGAATGTCCCCGAGAGAAGTTTCCTGAATGGGACCTTCAAAATGCAAGCCTTGTCTTTCCATCTTCCCAGGAGAGGATGGTCATAGGACCCAGGGGACCGGAAGATAAAATACTTCTACCTGTTGGTAAAAATAAAGCAGCGTGGTCCTGTCTTCTTTCAGGCTCTCCATGAAGTCTTCTGGCAGGTAGCGGATTTGAAGGTCATACCTGGGACAAGAAGTTCAATCTCTCTGGTTGACAGAGGGAAGCTGGTCCTACCAGGGGCTGCCTACTCCTCATTTCCCCCTGCCCCATTTCAGAACCTGCGGCTCTTCTCTTACCTCCACTCGGCTTCCACGTGCAGACACTCATACTTGTCCTGCACCTCCCCCACCGTCATCAGCGGGTGCAGCCAGTGGATCTCGTCTGACTTCATGTGCTTCAGCCTCAGCCCATAGCAGTCAGCCAGCTGGATGTTGGGCCCGATCCGCCCGCTCAGCAGGATGGAGGCGATGACATCCTACAGAGGAGAAGAGAGAGGGCTTGACTCAGGGGTATGCCCTTCTGGGCTCCCACAGTCCTCACAGAGCCCCGGAGGTGTGATTCTCTAGGGTGGGATTCTGACTTAAACGCTTTATTCGTCTCTGATTCACCATCACTTAGTGTAAGGCTTGGTACACAGGAGGCTCTGTGTGATGGACGAACAAGTTTGCAAAATCAGACAGGGAAGGAGGAACTGAGAGGAGAAGCAAAGGAGAAAATGCAGTGAGCAAAGAGCATGGATTCCACGCTTATGCATTTCATTCCAACCCAACCAAGCCATAACTACCGAGCACTGACCAGGTAAGAAGCACCCTCTGAATGGCTTCCAATTTAGCTAGCATTACCAAGCCTCTGCAGCAGGCATTTCTGGGAACTGTGTACACATTATTTCACCGAATCTGTGCAACATAAGGGGGCGGGTGTTACATCCCCATTTGGCTGATGGGGAAACTTATGGAGATCACAGGGGCTTCCGTGATAGCTCAGTTGGTAAAGAATCCATCTGCAATGCAGGAGACCCAGGTTCAATGCCTGGGTGGGGAAGATCCCCTGGAGAAGGGATAGGCTACCCAGTCCAGTATTCTTGGGCTTCCCTTGTAGCTCAGCTGGTAAAGAATCCACCTGCAATGCGGGAGAGCTGGGTTCGATCCCTGGGTTGGGAAGATCCCCCAGAGAAAGGAAAGGCTACCCACTCCAGTATTCTGGCCTGGAGAATTCCATGTACTATATAGTCCACGGGGTTGCAAAGAGTCAGACACAACTGGGAGACTTTCACTTCACTTCACTTTAATGGAGATCACACAGCTCATGGCATTAAGCTGGAATATGGACTCTGAACCCTGGACTCTGAGGACTAGTACTAGATCAAGTTGCTTCATGGAAAGGTAGGCTGGGTAAGATAGAAGGGAAGGACTTATATTAGGGATTAAGTGGCACCATTTCTGCACAAGAAGCATGGCCACCAGAAACAGAGTATTGACAAAATTTAGGTGCCCTCTGTATTCCTGCTTTCTTGATCAGAAGCCAGCCCACCCCACAGCCTGATGCCATAGCTTCCTGGCCTGGAGCCTGAGTTGGATTAAGAGGCCCATTGACAGCAGCCTGGAAAACCACCATCTAGAAAGTCCTGTCTAGTTCTGAAATCACATTGGTTCCACTTTAATTCAGGTTTCTTATGGAGTTCCACACATAATTGGTTAATCAAGCCCACTCCTGATGGAGTAAAAAGTACTCTAAAGGCAAATGAAAAAACTCACAAGCACTAATCAATCTCTGTTGAGTATCTTTGTAGTACATGCCACCCAGTCTGAGACCCCTGTGAATATTGAAAACTTCAAATATATATGAAGAAGACAGAAGTCAGTAGATTAGTATAATAAATCCCCATGTATACCCCACCCATCTTCAACAGTTACTAACATTTTGCCATTTTTACTTCTTCTATACCACCACCATCTACTACTTAACCACCACTCAACTATCGTCAATTTTTACAGTTCTTCTTTCACAGTGAAATTCATATTAATTTAAAGACACAAAGTTTAGCTACATAGTTTGACACATGAACACACCTGTGCAACCCACATACCAATTAAGATATTTCCAGATCTCCAGAAAGTTCCCTCATATCCCTTTTCAGTCAACTTTCATGGCACATTCCTACTTCTGGTTCTAGGCAACAATTTTTTCCTCCCACTTTTACTTAGTTTTGCCTGTTGTTGAACTTCATATAATTGGAATCATTTCATATATATTATTCATCCTCCTGTTGCTAAATACCTAGGTTATTTCTCATTTTTGGCTATTGTAAATAAAATTACTATGAGCATTAATGTATAAGTCTTTTTGAGTATGTGTGTTGTCATTTCCTCTGGACAAATACCTAGGAGAGAAATGACTGGGTCAAAGGTAGATGAACTTTATAAGTGATCGCCATGATGATTCCATTTTATATATATATATTATGACATATGAGATGTCTATCACACTACATCCTCTCCAACTTTTGGTGTTATAAATGTTTTTAACATTAGACATTTTAGTGAGTATGCATAGTATCCCATTGTGCTTTTAATTTGCATTTCCCTGAAGACTAACAATATTGAGTACTCTTCCATCTGCTTATAACCATTGATATATCTTCCTTTGTGAGGTACTCATTCAAATTCGTTGTCCATTGTGTGTGTATGTTTACTGATTGTAGGAGGTCCTTATACAATCTAGATAAAAGTACTTTGCATATGTCTTATGAATATTTTCTCTAGATCTGTACTGTGAAAGAAATTGAAAGTGAAAATCACTCAGTCATGTCTGACTCTGCGATCCCTTGAACTGTAGCCTGCCAGGCTCCTCTGTCCATGAAGTTCTCTAGCTCAGAATACTGGAGTAGGTAGCCATTCCCTACCCAAATATTCTTTTATGGTCAGTGCTTTTTGCATCTTAAGAAATCTTTGCCTGTCTCCAAATCATGAATATATTCTCCTGTTTTCTTGTATAAACTTTATAGCTTTAGGACTTCCCTGGTGGTCCAGTGGCCAATGCAGGGGTCATGGGGTCGATCCCTGGTCTGGAAAGATTCCATGTGCAGGGGGACACTAAACCTGCGTGCCACAACTATTGGAGTCCTCGTTCCCTGGAGCCCATGCTCAATGAGAGAAAACTGCAGACTGCAGCTGGAGAGGAACCCCTGCTCCCCAAACCCAGGAAAAGGCCGCACGCAGCAACAAAGACTTGATGCAGCCAAAAATTAATTGATTTTAAAAAGGCTATAAAACAAAAACATCATGGTTTTAGCTTTTACCTTTGTCTCTGTGATTGAGCTTGAGTTAACCCTTGTGTCTGGCGTGAAGTAGGGGTCAAATAAATTTTTTTTGTCATAAAGATCTATGGTTATTCAGCATTGGCTGTTGATTTTCATTCCCTAATCGAATTGTTTTGCTGTCTTTGTCAAAATCAACTGGCCATATAAATTCTGGGCTCTCAGTTCTGTTCTATTGATTTCTGTCTGCACTATGCCAGTGCTACTCTGTCTGCATTACTGTAGCTTTAGATAAGATCTTTAAAATTTTTACTTATTTATTTAACTTAGTTTGGTGTGCTGGGTCTTCATTGCTGCACACTGGCTTTCTCTAGTTGCAGTGAGTGGGGGGATCCTCCCTAGTAGCAGTACGTGGGTTTCTGTTTGTGGTGTCTTTTCCTAGTTTCGGAGTAGGAGCTCTAGGTACCTGTGCTTCAGTAGTCACCGTGGGCAGACTTAGTGGTGCCAAGGCATGTGAGATCTTAGTTCCCAGACCAGGGATCGAACCTGTGTCTCCTGCATTGGCAGGCAGACCAGAGAACCAGTGAACCACCAAACCACCATTCTTTTTCTTTTTTTTTTACAATTAAAAAGAAATAATTTATTTACTATGAACAAATTACAATTATTATTCATCTTTCATATTAGTGGAGACATTTATTAAACCACCATTCTTAACCAGTGAACCTCCAGGGACGTCCCTAGAGGAGATCTTGAAGTCAAACAGCATAAGCCTTCCGCCATTTCCTCCCGAAGATTATTGTGCTATTCTGGGTCTCTGCATCTCCATATGCATTTTTGAATCAGTTTGTCACTTTCTATTTAAAATATCTTCTGAATTATGATTGAGATTGTGTTACATCTATAGCTTAGCGAGGGAGAACTGGCATCTTAACAGCATGGAGTCTTCCAAACCTCACACATGGTATATCTCTCCACTTATTTTGCTTGTCTTTCATGTTTGCCAGCAATAATTTGTAGTTTCCAGTGTATAGGTTTTACAGGTCTTTTGTTAAATTTATTCCTAATTTTAACAATTAGGACTGATGCTGAAACTCCAATACTTTGACCACCTGATGTAAAGAGATGATTCATTGGAAAAGACCCTGATGCTGGGAAAGATTGAGGGCAGGAGGAGAAGGGGATGACAGAGGATGAGATCGTTGAGTGGAATCACTGACTCAGTGAACACGAGTTTGAGCAAACTCCGGGAGATAGTGAAGGACAGGGAAGCCTGGCATGCTGCAGTCCATGGGGTCACAAAAAGTTGGACACGACTTAGCAACCAAACACAACAACATGGTTTGAAACAGAAAGGTCTGTTTACTGAGAGAACCTAGGACCAACGACACCCTGATAGTCAGTTGGATACCAAACACCCAGTCTTACTTTCCAAATACCCTTCTGTACTAAACAGATCTAGGATTCCTTGGAGAAATACTGATTCCCCGGCTGGGGCAAAGAAGGTATGAGATGAGCCTGGAATACCTTTTTGTACTAGAGAAAAAGGAAGTGTTTAGAGAATGTTGGGGGACACATAACAAGGAACCAGTATCAGCTTAAAGGGACAGGGGCAAGCCAAGTCTGGGAGGACATAAGCATTAAAGTCTATCATGCTGGAGTGTGTCCACAGAATAAAACAGAATCTAGGAGAGATAAGTAAATAAATGGGGGAGAAGAGGATGCTTTTCTTTAGAGTAGAATACTAACTAGGAAATGTAGAAGAGAGGATGGAAATAGAAAATCACTGCCAACAAACCCAGTGTTGGTTAGTTCAGGCATGATTCATCAATGGAAGATAAGGCTGGAGGGCAGAGGATACTGACATAGTCTGAGTGCATCTCCTTTCAGACACTAATCAAATACAAAGGAAAACCTGGCAGACACAAATGACCAGGTCAACAAAGATAACTTCACCAGTGCTAGAACATGGTAAAGAGGACATGCCTCCCACCCTGATACACTGAGATGGGTACAGGACATCATTTCTGTGCCATCTCTGCTCTGAGTTCATGATGAGTCTAGGCAAGGACCTGGGTGAGTGGTCTCCTCAGAGACTGATAGATGGAATAAAGGGCTTAACTCTCTCAGACTGAGAAACTCTTTCAGATTGGAGGAGACCAGAGAGATATGACAATCAAATGCAATGTGTGTTCCTGGATCAGTCAGGAAAAATGGAT